TATTTGCGACAAAGTTATTTACCATAAAATCTGTGAAAGATCAGGAACTCAAACTTTTGGAGGACCCAAACTTTTGGGTCAAAGCCTGCAATTATCAAAGACAAAAATATTTTAAATAAATCTGAAGAGAAAGAGAGTGGTGGTTTTGGTTTTCCTCTTCCTTAATTTTTGAAAAAAAAATTATTTCTTATTTTTGGCTAGCTGGTTTTGAATAAGCAGACTACTGGCACAAGCCAGTCAGTGAAAGACAGGAGCCACTACCATGAAACTATTTTCATTTTTGTTTTAGTTACTTTAAAACATCATCTCTGAGATTTAAACTAATGGGAACAACAKGATGATCCTCAGCAGTATTTGCAATTCCATTTCCAAATGAGAAACAGCAAATGCAGCATCTTCTAAGAATACAGCTGAGAAAGGAATCCTTCATTATTTAATCCAAAATACACAGCACTGATACACGTACGTAATTTRTTTTACATATACAGAACAGGGGGAGGCTTGCTTATATTGAAAACAGCAAGTTTTGTAGAATATATATATGCACTAAAAATTGTCATATCTCAATATACCGAGCAGGGGAAGGTTTGTTTGTCTTGGAAACATCAAGTTATCATCAGACACAGGACAGGAGGCCGACCGGATCAATAGACTTGCTCAATATAGAARAATCTTATCTTCCTTTCAGGCTGGCTGGCCACAGTGTCAGCACCCAGATGCCACTGACAGAGTTATCTGCCATCAGCAGCAGCAATAACTGCTCAGTGCTTGGGTGACACCTACGAAAAGCCAATAACCCAAACAGGAAAGTTTTGTCCCGCTGTCCATTTTGAAGATAAAGGGACAGCGAGCCGCCCCTGCCCGGTCTTTGAGGCTTTATCAGGACGACAAAACATCGCTTTGCAGCGCGGGAGGGTTTGGATTTCACATCCCCATCCCTCCCGGASCGACGCGAACTGAAGAACCCGCGGCTACAACGGGAGCAGACCCGGCGGGGTCAGGTCCYAAAGCGTCCCTGGATGTGACACTCAGCCCTGCCGCTGTTGAAAAGAAGAAAGCAAAAAGCTTTCATGTGGTTCTATATATACGCGGTTCTATCTCTAGGGGCTGGTGTGCGCTGATGCCCGCGGAGACGCTCTCCCCGCCTGCCCTTTGCGCGCTTATCGCGGGCCCCGAGGGACACACGCGGCTTTATCTCCGGGCCGGGCTCGGAGCAGCAGAGTGGCATTTTCCTTTCATGCCGCCCCCGACACCCAGAGAGGGGCAGAGCCTCCGCAGGGCCCCGGCACAGCCCCCGGCACAGCCCCGGCCCCGCACGGCACAGCCCGATAAGCGCGATGCGGGACCGCTCCGATACCGCAGCAGGAGACAAAGGGCGGCGGTGATAGCATCTGATCRGCCTCGAGTTGAGAGGTTAAAAATRAAAGSGAACCCGAGTGGAMGCGGCCTAAAGCATGGCAAGGTGTCACAGCAGGCGGGGAATTGTCCCCCAGCTGTCCCATGGCAYTACAGTGAACAGGCAAAGGGCTGGGCTGGATCTCGGGGCAGCGTCTGGAACAGTTTCACCAGAGCTGCTCCTCAGCTCAGTCACAGGATATTTTGAGTTGGAAGGGATTTCCTGGATCACTGAGTCCAGCTCTTAATTAAATGGCCACACAGGGACAGGAGCCACAGCCTTGGTGTCACCAGCACCAGCTCTGACCAGCTCAGCACAATCATCTTTAGTGGCATCACAAGGCTGCTGGATTCTCATGATCCACTCAGCATTTTAGAGCCCAAGGAAACACTCTGAGGTGCTAATCTGAACAAGGGCCAGGGCCCAAACCCAACTGAGTTAATAAAGATTCCAGTTCCCTCCTCAGACTGCAGCTTTCTTTATGTGGAGAGGATGAAAACCTCAAGGCACAGYTATAGTGAACCACCTCTGTCAATGCATCACCCAAAGAATTTGGCAAAGATTCTCCATCACCTGTTCCTGTGAGAAAACCAAACTTCAACTCATTACCTTGTGGCACAGAGTTTGTACTATTTCATATCAGCAAGCAGATAATAAGAATGTATTTATTCACCAGTCTCAATCTGAACAAACAGCTTTCAATAGCAGCAGGATGATTTCAGACACCCTGGATTTGGCGTTTGGTTGTGGTAGAAGCCACCTGCTGCCTGTTTGGAGAACACTTCTCACCTTTATGGGACAGAAACACAACAAACACTCAGGCACCAGGGACAAAAGGGGCTTTGCAGCAATTTACAATCACCAAACCCCACACCTGGGGAAAAAATTGCTTTGGTTTCTCTTTTGTGAGAATCACACCATTACAAACAGGGCAGCAAAGCAATTAAAGCTGTTTTCCATCTCCCCTCTTTTTCCAAAGGAGAGCCCCACACATTTGCAGACAAGCATGCACATGTCCCCTGGATATTCTCAGCCCCCAAAGATTCCAGCCTGACTTGCCTGGCTTGCTCTGGGCCACTTGGCATGTGATAGCAGCCACGCACATTTGGCTGAGACATTTTTAGAAACCTCCAAGCTATGAATTCACCTTTCCATTTCGGTAAAGTCAGTTATGTGGAAAGCATTTCAAAAGCACAACTTCAAACACAAATTTCATTTTCCTTCAGTACTTGGGGAGATGGGGTAAATAYGACACACTTCATTTATTTTCTCAGAGTTATGCTGCAATATTTGTGTATTTGATAATGCCACAATCAATAATAATGAGTCAAATCAAGTCAGTCTTTCTCAGCACATTTACAGTATATGTTGAATTTCCAATTCTTCTCTTCAGAGAAGAAATAATAAAATAATAAAATAAAATGTTCTCACATTTTATTGCAACTACTAAAATTTGACATTCCAAGGAAACAAAGACCTAACTAAATGGTTTGGAAGTGACCTTCAAGCTGCAGATTTCAGGGGTGCAATGGACACCTGGCAGGCACCTGCTCCTGCCCACAGGTTTTCCACCACAGTCATGTGGGAAGGGAGACCAGGACTGGATTTACATCCACAGCCTGGCAACACAGCTCAATATCCAACACCAGCTGACTCCTGACACTCCAAGGAGCAGCTTCCAGGCGTTTTCCCCTTTCCCACAGGTGCTCAGGAAAAGCAATCTGCTCCCAGTGGGTTGGACTCCCCAAGCAGGACGCGAGCGATTCCACCAACCTGAAACTCGTAAACCTCTAAATGTGCTGAGGCATCAGAGCTGCCCCATCCTCATCCCTAAGTGGCTGCAGCTGCAAAACCAAACACCCACAGCCGCTTCAAGGCTGCAGCCCCTTTGCTGGAGGACACTTAATGAACCMCCCCTCAGCTAATGAGCAGCAGTTCGTTAACCCACAGCTGCTGGATTGCTGCCAGCTGCCTGTCTCAGCTCCCAAGCTCCACTGCAAAAGATCAGCCATTTTCAGGCTCTGAGTGGTTCCTCACTCCTTGTTTTAAAGTGCTATTCTTCCAAGGAAAAAAGTTTTTACTGCCACTGTTTTTGACAGAAAATCCCACTCTCTATGTGCAGGGAACACATCTGGTACCTGCTGCCTGTAGGGGAGGGATGGTCCAGGCAGTAACAGGAACGTTCCTGTGCATTTCCACTTGTGTGTGAACCCTCCAGCAGAGCCATGAACTCTTCTCCAGAGCTCTCTGTTCCCATCTCCCCATACACTTTCTGCTCCTGCAATCCTGGAGTCCCTGCTCTCTGAAGGGTTCCAGCCTTCGGCCTCCAAGTCATACCCAAGCCCAAAAATGCAGAGTGAGCAGTGGCCATTCCCTTCCCACCACCCATGATGGCTCTGCTGMATTTGTCAGGGCAGACACCCAAGAAAATGATATTTCTTTTCCAAAAAAACAGCATGGTACCATTTTTTACCCTTCACAACATTATATCAGGAATAGAACACCAAGACACAACGTCCTGAATGCAAATATAAACCCCTCTGCACAGAAAAACCGCCCAAGCAAAATTTCCAAACTCCTCAGATCAGACAACAAAAAGCCAGGCACAAACATCTCCTCTTCCCCCAATGCTGCTTTCGCTCATTTATCCAAAAAGAAGAGAAATCAAGTCCTACCTTTGGAGCAGGGTCTGTGAGCGAGGTGAGGAGCAGAGCAGACACCAGAGGGGACTGTGTAGGGAGGGTATTTGAGCACCAGGCTGCCCTCCCCAGCTGGGCACCGTGAGGGTTTATTGGCGCATCCCACAGTGCTGCGGGGATTCTGTGAACCACCACCAGCTCTGCCTCTGCTCCAGCACCCACCCACCCCCAAATCACCCTTCTCACCCCACAGAAAAGTAACATTGATCTCGCTGGCCCCACTGATTATTTTCTTCCAGGATGATTCCTGCTGCCTATGGAAAGAAATGATTCAAGTACCAAGCACTGCAGAGCAACCTGTTGCTTCCTGGAATTTCTACCTCCCCTCTCCCAAAAAGTCCAGTTGTCCTTGCCATTTTTTCACTAATTTCTTTGTCTCTAAGGACTGTAAGTTGATAGTTTATGCAGATGGCTTTATCTACACAAAGACTGAATTTTTGAAGCTAATTTCTCGCATTCAAGCCCAGAATGTGCACATTGTCAACTTATTTCATTCTTGATGCAACTGTATCTCAGGAAAGGCTGTGAAGAAATGCCCTGAAATACAAGAAATAAACAATATGGAAAACCATATCCACTCCGTTCAGTCTGCCTGTTCAGGGCCACAAAATAGGAACAAGACCCCCAAAAATGCAAATAAAAATCATGAAGTGAAATGATATAAAGGAGGAAAAARGCTTTTGATTTCAACAGATTGCCAAGGTAGTTCTCACATCTGTTGCATGAATTAATAATAACAAATGGGGTTTCCCATTTTGGCTTTTCTCAGAGCCCTCCCAAGGTCAGAGGGACAGAGCCAGGCTGTGTTATGCCCCCAAAAAAACAATCCACAAGCAACTGCTGCTCTTGAAGAAAAGGCTCTTTCAATCCATCRGATTCTGGTTTTAAACAAAACTCAGTTGACATGAATACAATAAATATTTTATTAGTGGAATGTATTGAGGGCTTTTTTTTGAGGTTTTTTCTCTTCCATTCTTCCTCCTACCCTCACCACCTCAGACACAGATGGCAGAACAGTTTGCAGTCCAAGCCAAGGACAAAATTTCAAGGTAAAGAACAGCGAGAGGTTGAAAGTTCAGACTGGCAACTTTGAGTGCCAGTCCCTCAAGCGTTTGATTCCCCAAACCCACAGGCAAATTGTCATTTCTTCTTCCCATAATATGATCTATTAAGCTCTTCTGAGGCAGGTCACAAGCTCCATGGGGACAGCACAAATTCCTGCCTGCCCTAACACTCSTCCAGCTATTGCAATATCCCTTTATTATTTCATTGAAAAGCCCCACCATTATCAACCGTCTATTTCTGATTGTTGTTTTTTAATAGTTCAGTGAGTGTTGGAGTTTTACAAAAATGGGAAGAGTCTCTTTTTCAGGATRTAGAGCACTGTGGCCAGGAAGAGGGCGAGGGCCAGGAAGATGAGCAGCTTGTCCGTCAGCTCCCGGCGGTTGTACTTGGTGATCAGCTTCCTCCCCAGCTGGATTGTCCCAGACATGGACTTGAATTCCTCATTTGCTTCCAGGATGGTTCGGGAAGAATTGGCTGAAATTAAAGGGGAAAAAAAAAAGGAATTAAATCAGCAGGTTGTGCTTCAAAAATGCAAAATTTGTAAGGATGAGRTATTTGGCAACACAGAGAGCGCCCGAGGGATCCTTCTGGGTCAGGCTGAGTTGTGGGTGAGACTGACACAGAGTGTTCTCACAGCTCAGGGGTGTTGATGCACTCAGAAAACAGAAATTCCCACTACTAACTCAGAATTTGCAGCTGGGTTTTATAAGCGATTCCCTTGATGAATTCCAAGTGCTGTTCATTCAGAAATAGGGTGAAAAAGTGCCTGCCAAATTGTCTCTTTAATGGGAGAAGGAACATGCTACTTCTACAGCAACAAACTGTGCCCAGCTGCCACCCTCAGATGGGGCAGAAAGCAAGGAGAGCAAAACTGTGTTATTTATCCTTGTCTTTAAAGTTCCCTCTCTTGCCCAAAAGCACAGCTAGRAAGAGGCCCAGGCAGCAACTTCTAAATGCTCCATGAATCACCAGTTCTGACAGGTCACTTGATTTATTGTTTTAGGGGTGGAAGCCAAGGAACTGGGTGAAATCTTGGTTTCACAGTCCCTGATGCTCTGCTGACAGAGCAAGTGACCTCRGGTTCAAGGCACTTGATCTCAGTGTCTCAGCCATCCCAGCTGGAGCCTGGCTGGAAGCAGCCTTCAGACACTCTTTTCTCTGTGCAGGGATCTGTATCCATGCTTCTGTTTTTTATGCCATTCCCAAATCCATGCCAGGACAGTGGGACAGAGTAACAATGCTCTGGCCTCTGTGTGAGCTCACGTTGCTTTTACAACTGCCTTTATGTGAAACTAAACTTCATCCTGACMCCTTTTCCTTCTCGTAATCATGAAACAGAAACTCCAATGAACAGGAACTCCACACAAAGTACACTATTATTTCCTGTTTATGTCCAGCTGTTACAGGAGTTCTGCAGGCCAGTYCTTTCATTCCCATTGCAGCACATCCTCCTACTCTGCTCCACGTTTGTYACCTCTCCTCTTCCTGACAGAACTGACTAAAAGTGTTTCCATCAGCCCATCCATGCCCAAATTCCAGTTGTACCTAAGGTCTGCACRGTCTCCTCACTCTGCTGCACTTGCTGGGACATCATCCTGCTGATGCTCATCAGACTCTCTGTGATGTTGCTTGCACTCTCTGCCAGACTTTCCTTTGTGGTCTTCCTGAAAAGGAAAAAAAAAGCAAAGCAGGAAGGGATAAAATTATTTCTTTGGGTACTTTTGGAAAATGCTGCTGATGGGGAGCTTAGAACAGAGTTTGGCACTAAACATCTCTCCAGCGTACAAAAGACATAACTGGTTTTCACTGCATGAGAAATTCAGATTATCTTCCCTAAAAAGTAAAAAAACCCACAAAATATGAAAGTTCTGAGCCCAAACAACAGCCAGTGGCTGAGAATCTCACAGGGGCTTTTATTTCAACACTTATTCACCCAGGACTATGTAATTCCATGGGCTACTATGGTAGCAGTACCACAAACTACCACTTTAATGTCCTGAGTATCCYAGTTGTTGCTTTCAATACACATCATGCATACACTTACATCCAGGTCTGCCTGTGAAAGAAGCTTGGATAATGATCTACTACTTGTTTTGAACCCTAACGGAATTAACGTAAAAGACAGTAAGAACAGAGGAAGGTTAATTTATCCCCTTTTCTGCTTAGACCTGCAAATGCCAAGAAAACTGGAATTTATCACAGTCCTTAACAGCTCAAATTGCCACAAAAGGGAAATGCATTCATAAAGAAATGCTACACTTCAGATAAAATTAAACACCTTAAAAATATTATGTCCATTTAAAACTAGTGAATATAGAAGACACTGCTTAAATCTCAGACAGTACAGTGGGACAGTCCAATACCTTTGCCTTAAGACGTCTCTCCCTTGCAGCAGCTGATCTTTCTCAGAGTTGTCAATAGCAATTTTGCAGGCCAGATTTGCTTTTCTCCAGGCTACCTGGTTGCTGAAATCACAAGAGCAGGGTGTTGTAATGTGATGGTAACACCTTGCAAGCACAGACAGTTTTCACAAAGCAACCCCCACTGTAACTGGGCATCCCTGACATGTGCATGGACCCTCTGAATCCCAGAATCATTTGGGTTGGAAAATACTTTTAAGATCATCGAGTCCAAGTGTGCCCCATCCCCAGCAAGTGCCACCTCCAGCCCCTCCTTGGACATCTCCAGGGATGGGCACTCCAAACCTCCCTGGGCAGCCCCTGCCAATCCTGAGCACCCTTTCCATGGGGAAATTCCTGCTGATGTCCCCCCTGCCCCTCCCCAGCCCAGCCTGARGCCGTTCCCTCTCCTCCTGTCCCTGTTCCCTGGAGCACAGCCCGACACCCCCGGCTGTCCCCTCCTGTCACTGTCTCCATATTACTACACAGGATAACAATATTCTATCCTGGCATTCCCTCTCCTCAGTGTAGCATTTATGGAGCAAGGCTCCACAGCTGTCAGATTCTTACACCACCTACTCTGAGCTCAAGTGCTCAAAGGGACAGAACAGACTTAGGAAGGCAGGAAGGAGAAGGGAGCTGCACCCTTTCTGTCCCTGACCTCTTGTTCTGGGGTAAAACACGAGTCAGTGACTGTGCTTCCAAACCACAATCTGAGACACACCACAGCCAGCCTTTGGTTACAGGGGACTTGGGAACAGCACCAGCTGCCCGACCCACCTGAGCATTTGTTTCTTRTGGTTCTCCACCTCCCGCAGCAAGGCTTGTTTCTCCGACTCCTTGTCCTGYTCCTTCGCCATCTGCTCCAGCTCCTTTGGCGGAGAGCACAAACASCAGAACCTCACCAACCACCCGCAACTCGCACACCCCACACCCGGCCGGGGAGCGGATTCCGAGAGGATTTATCTGATAAACCCCCAATCCACGGCC